GGTTATGGGCGCAACTCGTGCCCACGTGACACCCCTCCTGCACAAGCTGCACTGGCTCCCAGTGGTCTTCCAGGTGCGATTCAAGGTGTTGGTTACCACCTTTAAAGCGCTCCATGGCATTGAACCTGGGTACCTTCGAGACCATCTTCTGCCACCAGTAGCCTCCCACCGGCCAGTCCGCTCCCACAGAGAGGGTCTCCTCAGGGTGCCATCAGCCAAATTATGTCGGCTGGCAACACCCAGGGGGAGGGCTTCTCTGTGGGAGCCCCTGCCCTTTGGAATGAACTCCCCCCAGAAATTTGCAAAATCTCTGATCTCCGTGTATTTCGCTGTGCCCTCAAAACCATATTGTTCCGCCAGGCTGGGCTATCAATATAAAGATTTTAATTGGTTTTAAATTGGGTTTTTAAATTCGGGGTTTTATAAATTGGGCCTACTATTTAATAATTTTAATTATTTTTAAATATTGTCTGTCTTTGTGTTTTTAATTAGGCTGTACACCGCCCTGAGTCCTTCGGGAGAAGGGCAGTATAGAAATGAAATAAAATAAATAAATAAATAAATAAATAAATAAATACATAAATAAATAAATAAATGTAGCAGTCTTAACTTTGAGGATCAGTCACAAGTAACTTTTTCGAAATCCCTTGTAACTGAATGGTGGTTAAGCAACTGGTTGTAAGCCAAGGATCACCAGTAGTAGAAAAAGACAAATGGGAATATAGAAAGAGCTATCTGAATATATAGAGGAAAAATACTCTCTGTAGAGAGAAAATCAGATGCTAACTATATGGATTAAAAATGTTGAATGAAAACAAAGAAATCATCATTAACATAACAAAACAAGCTTAATTTACTGAACATAGCAAAGCAAAGCAACACAAAAGAGGGAAACACAAAAAAGGTACAGTATCCTTAATGTGATTTATCAAACTACGTATTCAACTATATTGATATTTCTACATTTATTTATTGAATTCTGTAGTGGATAGCTGTCTCTGTAGGGTCACAGAAGCTTTGGGATAGATTCAGATTTTCAGATTTTGGGCCTACTCTGCTTTGGGATAGTAGCAGTGGTGGATTTCTACCAGTTTGCCCCAGTTCAGGTGAACCGGTAGCGGCGGCAGGAGGCTCCACCTACCTGCCAGGTTGTCATCACGGACTCTCTGCGCATGCGCAGAAGGTTTTGCGCATGTGCAGAAGCGCCCCGATTGAGTGCTCACAGTTCCAAACTGGTACCGAAGGTAAGTGAAACCCACTACGGGATAGGAGCTTGGTAAACCCTGGGAGTCCCTATCTTCCAACAGGCAACTCACATCTTTTCCCTGACTCGGTTTGTGAGAGATATTGGCAGGCCTGTCACTGATTTAAAGTCAAACTGAATATTATTATTTTAAGAAGGGCAACATCCTCACAACATCCTTGTTTTTGGAAAACAAGCCCTATTTTCTTGAGAAAAAAAAATCTTACAAGAGTTAAATAAGTCCAAACTTTGTTAGAGGAAAAAAGTAAAATGCTTTTTAATGATAAAGGCAATAAAATGTGTAGAACTTTTCAAATTACAGATGACAACTTAAGAGAAAATTTCAGAATAAAGTACAATCTTCTTAGAAGAGTATAAGTGGGTATGGTTTGAATAAATAAAAAAACCTGCAAATTCAGAAAAATCAAAGTTCTAAACAAAATTGTTGTCTAAAAATTCTACTGATCAAATCACAAATACAACGTGAAATATGGAATAACAGTTGAGGTACACACCATCCCCTAACTTGTATAATAGTGAATTTCTATTGTAATAAAAACAATTATAATAATTCTTATTGAAATAGGAAAAAATAGAGAAAGAAAAGTCCTTGATTTAGCACCACACAGGAAAGAGAAATTTAATGCAAATTCAATGCCAGGCAGATAACTGTAGTTTCTTTTTCTAAAGCAAACATTCCTCTGCTTCATTGTCTGGGCTTCAAAGTTAAGAAGTGGTAGCTTTGCTTAGTATTTGGATGGATGCATTTCAACACTAGTCTTCCCCCTTGATCTACAACACTGCCTATGAGTAAATCTATCTTAAAACATTAAGTGCACATATTTTGGAAAATAGTGTAAATTGTACTTTATCTCCTGACATATTCCCATCACAACTTCAAAATCTGTGTAAAAGGTATAAAGCTTTGCCATATTTTTGTTTTGGGGGGTAGGTTGAAGTTCATCAGGAAATGATTGGTAATGTGTTTTGGGGAGTATTGAGGGGTATCCTCTTCCACTCTGGTCTAACCCTAACAATCTTTGTTCTCTCCCTTAGCACTTTATTTCCTGAATTCCTCTTGCTGCACCACTTCTGATTTTAAATTCTTTTCTCCAGGTTTCCAACAAGGTAGGGGAGATAAGAGCAGAGCTCCATTAATTTATTTGGATAAGCAAATAAAGTTTATGGACATTATTCTTCTTTAACAGGCTCCTGAAGTAATTGAACATTTTTAAATCTGTCTTATTTAAAGGGAAAGTGCTATTTTACTCTTCCACTGATTAGTATTTTGAGAGGTAACTTTAACTTTAGATGCAACCGCTTTGCTTTTCCTGGTTGTAGGATCCAGAAAATAGCAAGGAATAGTGAACTGAGATTTTTGTTGTTTGTCAGCCTTAATTTCATAGAGGTCCCTCCTTCCACAATCCTCTTTTACAACATTCCTTTTAGTTCTCTTTCGCAAAACTGTTTTCTCTCCACGTGCAGAGTTACTATGTGATTTCTATATACTCCGTTCTGAGTCACTTTAGGATTGCAGTGGTAAAAATAGCAATAGCACTTAGACTTATATACCACTTTACAATGCTTTACAGCCCTCTCTAAGCGGTTTTACAGAGTCAGCATATTGCCCCCAACAATCTGGGTCCTCATTTTACCCACCTTGGAAGGATGGATAGCTGAGTCAACCTGAGTCAAAAATAGGGTAATTAGAGTAATACTGATTTCCTCCTTCCAGCCTATCTTCGTCTTCACTAAACTTTGTGTCTTCAAGAACTTCTCACATCCCTACTTAGTACATAAAGTATTGGAATATCAATACCTACTCACCCCAAAAATCTCTCAAATTTCTCTGTGTTTGTCAGATATGTTTCTCATACTTGAACCTACTTTTTAAAGGAAAATAGAAAAAAAATGATTTGTATAAGTCTGGAATATTGTTCTGTATGCTTCGATTTCAGGATTACAGTCCAGTCTTATTTTTGGTCAGACACATTTTACTAAAAGACAAGATTTTTCATGAATCGCATTTCTGATAAAGTGAGTTGCAATTTTCAGAAACATATACCTTTTAATAAAATGTGTTAGAAAAGTGGATTAGCAGCTAGTTTTTTTGCTACCACAGACTTAATATGCTTCTTCTCCCACAGATTTTGGACTGGTGATTGAAAGTAGTAGTTAATAGCTTCAGCACTAGAATAATTACAGCATGCTGCTACTGTGAAGTACATGTTTATTAAAACATCATTCAGTAGGAGCTTAACCAGCAATGCTTAAAACCTAAGGCAAGGTTTAGCAGTAACAGAATTAACAATTTACGCAATACTACTTCTAAAAGTGTGATATTAGGCCTACACACACTTCATAAATGATTCAGAAGACATACAGTGGACCACACACAGAAATGGCCTAAAATTGGGCTAGTCTAATGATTAACAGAGAAGTGCTAAGTATTTCTCATGAATCATTTTTGAAATGTGCATAATCCTAAAAAATATGATTTAGATAGATGTCCATAGGGATCTATGCAATTTTCTTTCAAGGAGATGAACGTACAATTGCAGTCTTCAGTTGTGCTAAAAATATCTGGATAGATTCAATAATCGTTTGATCCTTATTGTAAATACAACATTGAGATAATAAACATGAGTCATGTTTTCTACATTTCTGTTCAAGTTTTCATTCCTCAGTTAAGAGCATTCATGTTCCAAGTTGCTTTAAAATAATTTGCATATCACGTTTCTAATCTCCATAAACTTGGAGACAACAACTTATTTCATTTGCTATCTAATAACCTATCAGGAGATTCTCAGCGTTGTTTTAGTTCAGCATTATGAAACACCTGCACAATTAAAGGCATGATTAAGTAGTCGCTGAGCTTATGCTCATAATTGCATCTGGGTGTATGTGGCTTAGGGGGACTACATATGACTACCATTCCCCCATTGAAAGAATAATTGGAGACTATAATTTGAAGCAGAAAATGAATAGTTGGGAAAGATTTGCAACTCCTCTGCAAAGGGGAAAGAGAAGCCAGGTGTTTTGCCTCGCAAAGAGAGGATTGTGAACCTCTGTCCTTGTCTTCTACCATTTATTTACTCTTGGTATCAGCCACTGCAAACCATTAACATAACATCTGAGGAGTTGCATAGGAAAGCAAAACTGCGCAGTGCGAGCTGGACTAGGAGAAAACGGGTCAATGACCGTGTAGGTACAATTTAATTTCTAGGATATGCAGCAGGAGTCAGTTTTCACAGGTCTAGATTTTCGCATTACTTCCCCTTTGGGTAGGAGAACTTCCATTCTGCTCCTAAAATAACTGTTCTCATCCTACTTGTGCCTGTGTCAAACAATCCGGTGACAATCATTTTTTACTCCTGTGTCCCTCCTCCACAAATCCTCTCTGCATAATTTAACCTGCCTCTTTCTAAACCTGTGCTAAGCCCCAGCACCACTTCCCTACTGCAAATCTTCCCTTCCCGAAACAGCTGCCAACTTTGGTTAAGCACATCTGCATGCGAGGCCTAGTTTGGACCACAGCAGTCAAAGGAAGGGACTTCTAGAATCAGGACTATATGGGATGCCCCTACCCACGGTGTTAAACTCTGGCCGCGTACGAACGGTGCCTTTCACCCGTCCGCGTCTGCTGCTTTTTTGGGGGGGAAATGAAAGCAGGGACTTCAGTCACCCTCCTAGCTGTTTGCCCGAGCCGCCTCGTACGCCCGTCGGCGCTCGAATGGGTCTTCCAGCCTCCTCAGCAGGCAGGCAGGCAGGCTTCCACGCCGGGCCGGACCCCTCAAGGCTTCCAACGGAGCAGTCCCGCGTTTGGGCGTGAGCGCCGTCTGGCAGGCAAAACTGGGGCGAGGCTCTGGCTGAGCAAGAAAGGAATGCGAGTGGGAAGCAGAAAGAGCCCGGCGCAAGCAAGCAAGCGGGCATGTAGCGACAGATCCCGCCAGCAGAGAGGCGCGGGGAGCCGGGCCGGGGCTCACGCGGCAGAGGGCGGGCTTTCGCGTTCTCCCGGGGAAAAGCCGGAGGAAGAGGAAAAACGCGGCTTCGCCCGGCGGACCACGCGGCCGTTTCCACGGGCAGCGCGCCTCCCGACCGGAGCGTCCCGCTGGCTGCCCCCATGGCGGCGTCGGAGAAGGTGCTGCGGGAAGGAGTGCTGGAGAAGCGGAGCGGAGGGCTGTTGCAGCTCTGGAAGAAAAAGCGCTGCCTGCTGAGCGAGAAAGGGCTGCGGCTCTTCGAGGCCGGCAGCCGGGGCTCCACGCGTTGCAAGGAGCTGCCCTTCGCCCACGTCAAAGCCGTCGAGTGCGTGGAGTGGAAGCAGCGGCACATCTACTTCACGGTGGTGACGGACGACGGCGCCGAGATCGACTTTCGCTGCCCGCAGGAAGACCCCAGCTGGAACGCCGACATCACTCTGGCGCTGGTGCGCTTCCAGAACCAGCAAGCGGTGCAGATCGTGCGCGCCAGGCACAGCTGCAGGGCGGGTGAGAGTCCACCCTGGGGTGGGGGGGGGGGGGCGCGGGGGGGGGGGGGGGCCAGGGGACGCTTAAGAAGTTCGCGCCCGTCATGGGGGGTGGGGGTCTGCCTGAATTAACCAACCCGGAGGTATGATCTCTAGGGAAAGTGCGGAATTTGTATGGAGGCGGGTTGTAATTCATTCCCCGGTACCTCTAGATCAGTGTTTCCCAAACTTGGCTATTTTAAGATGCATGGACTTCAATTCCCAGAATTCCCCAACCAGTATGCCTGGTTGAGGAATTCTGGGAGTTGAAGTCCATACATCTTTAAAGGGTCAAGTTTGGGAAACACTGCTCCAGATCAGAGGGTCTTCAAACTTGGCAGCTTTAAGACTTGTGGACTCCAACTCCCAGAATTCTGGGAGTTGGAGTCCACAAGTCTTAAAGCTGCCAAGTTTGAAGACCCTCTGCTCTAGATGAATCTGTAGTGACAAAATTAAGAAAGATTTCTGCCTGCCAGAAGGACCCGATGGCCGCTGCCCGCCGCCAGGTTAAGCATAAGCAGAGCTGGGATTCTCTGCAGAGGCCATGCTGGCTGGGGAATTCTGGGTGTTAAAGTCCACACATCTGGTAGTGGCCAGGGTTGAGAAACATCGGTCTGGAACAGCTCATGTTGTGGCTCAGTACAAGACTCTTTAAGAGCAGTCAGCCATCATGATTTGCTTTATCATGGTTTATTGAATAAACCATCAGTTGGCTGAATTAATAGATGATATTAAGCTATATATATATACACTGCTCAAAAAAATAAAGGGAACACAAGCAGAAGACGTCCGAGATCTGAATGAATGAAATAGCCTTATTAAACACTTTGTTCGTTACATACAGTAGTTTTGTGTTCCCTTTAGTTGTTTGAGCAGTGTATAAACTACTGTATGTAACGAACAAAGTATTTAATAAGGCTATTTCATTCATTCAGATCTCGGACGTCTTCTGCTTGTGTTCCCTTTATTTTTTTGAGCAGTATATATACCATAGAGAAAAACAATCAGTGATTGAATTCTCACAGCATGTTAAATCACACGTAATGTGTGAACGTTATCTTTCTGGCATCTAAAATTCCATGCGAAGAATGGGATTATTAATCCCTAGCAGATGGAGTAGGATTTCTACCTGAGATAAGTAAAGTGAGGTAGGCAACGTAAGATGTATTGAATGATAGCCAATCCTGATAGTTGCAGTGTGTGGATATATATAGGGCAATCTTATATACTATGTAGAGTTAATTGTATGAATGTCTAATTTTTATCAGAGATGCACATCACAGGGCCACTGAAAATTTTGCAATGTCCCCCAGAGCTCCCCTGAAAGTTACATCAGTTTATAACTGTTAAGATGCTGGGCAGATTTATTGTAATCATGAAGATCATAATATTGTATAGGTTTAGTGTATAATTACATTTATATTCAGTGGGGTGGGGTTAGTTTTATCTTAGTACCATTAACACTTTGGACAATATTAAGCCACTCAATAGCCAGCTCACCCCCCAAAAGAATTGTGCATCTTTGAGGTGGATATATACTGCTTTGGACATTGGACAACTAAATTACGGAAGTAGAATCTGGGGTTGAAAGAAAAGAAAGTGGAAATAAAACTTTTCCTGCAGAGAGAAGAGCAGAACAGAGAAGAAAACCTAACACCCAATGGAAGAAGGCTTGCAGATGAGTTTGTTTAGAGACAGATCACTAATGCATCAAGCCCAATGCTGTTGATAGTAGCCTTTCACTTTCTCCAGGCCACCCTGAAGATGACAGGAGTTGAATTTAGAGTGGTTTGCATGCAAGGAAGGGCCTGAGTAACTGAGCTGTGCCCTCCTCTATTCTCAGCCCAACTAAAAACAAATGAACAAACATGGCTGAAACACTTCTTTTTTTAAGCTGGGAGGTCAGAGGTTCAGGATAAAGTAAAATGGAAAACAGTAGGAGAGAAAGGCTAGAAAGGAAGTAAATAAACCACACAGCATTGTTTGTATCCGCTCCTTCTCAGCAGGGAAGATAATGTTCAATGAGGCTACACACTTCTTACAGAGAATTTTCCATTAATGACTCAACTGTACCCATTTTGTGCTTGTAGCAATGTTTAAGTTCATTTTTGTTTAAATATTTAAACAACAAAGGTTGAGTTAGCAGCTGCATCTCCCTGTGCTTGGATTATTTTACCTTTACTCTAGAACAGCAAATATTCTCCAGTACAGGATGGCTACTTTGTTTCCTCACAGACAGTTTCTTCTCAGATATAATTTGATAGTCTGACTGATCAGGAGGACTAAACTGGAGATGTGCCTTTTCTGCCATTTTGTTCTTCGACTGCATTTAACAGATGTGCTTTCCTCTAAAGGGGAGAAGGGGAAATAGTTCAGAACAATCTTATCCCCTCACCACTTTCTGATCAAAACAGGTAGCACTCTCCAGGGCCTTACTTTCTTTTTATATGAACCTCGCCAGAATCAGGAGGGAAGAATTTAAAGGGGCATATTGGTAATTTGTATGCCTTTGCCTAGCTGTCTGCCATATGAAATAATATTTTTTTCTGGAGTTATGCAGAACCAATTCAGCAAATATGATTTTTTTTTAATATGGGGTACTTTGTAATTCTAGATACATTGTGGTGTGGTGGAATTGCAGTTGGGCAAATACAGTATACTGTTAGGGAAAGGTATTGTTTTAAAATCATTATTTTTATGTCAAGAATGTTTTTGTTTATTTTATGTTCACTTCTATAGCATTTTTCTGTCTATGAAGTGATTTACAGTATTTTCTCACAGATCTGTGAGAATGGCACATTTTAGCCCAGCATGATTTCTTTCTTGCAGTACAGTTAGGGAATATGCATGGTCTCTTGTATGGCTTAACTCAAGTCTAACTGTTGATTCTCCATCCTCCCCCTTTCCAGCATTTCAACAAGGGTCAACTCCAACCAGCCAGATTCTGGTGAATGGGTCTAAGAAATCCGACTCTCAGCTCAACGTGGAGAGGGTAGAGGAATTTATAGCGGTGACTTCACCTGCCGGTGGACCAAAGGCAATTTCTAGCTGCAACTGAACAAAAACCTCTACTTTCTTTGGTGAGGCATCTCTGCTGCAAAGTGAAATAATGCCTGGTGAAGCCAGCAAAATATGTATCACAACAATGGTTAGAAACAGCTTTTGTTTTTCTCCTCTGTTTTTGCTATGATACTTAAGAACTTGGTCTTTCGATAAGGCATTGAGAAAGTTTCCTATTAGACTGACAGTTTGCTTTCTACTGTCAACAGTCTTACTTACAGTGATGGAGACCTACTGATTCAGGAGACAGTTGCAGCAGCTATGACAAAAAGGAATCATTCCATCACTCAGTGTGCCACCAGCCTGATGCTGAGTGAACAGTGCCAGAATAAGATGAACTCTGTGAGTGAGGAGCGTACATGCTATTGAATCTGAGCATGTCAGACATGCTATGGCACTAATTTCTTGGTTAAAAAGGCAGAGAACATCTGTCTTCCGTTAATCAAGTGGCTCATCTGGAAGGCACAATTGTGAGCCTGCCCCTCTGACCTGAGAAGTCACAGGTTATGAGGTTATGCTGCTGCTGGAGTAGATGCAGAGAATTTTTTTAAAAAATATAAGCACCTTAAGAAGCAACTCAGTGGGGTTTGGGAATCCTGAAATTTCTATAAATGAGTTGGTTGTGTGTCCCGCTGCTTTCTGCCACAAAGTTAACGCTCACTGAGGCAGCATCTTGACAATCCATAACTTCAGCTCAGTGAATCATATCAACATCTAGGATTATATAACATTGCTAGGTCCTTTATCCTTTAGAATTCTTAGGTACTAGGGTGCAAGCCTCAAGATAAGAATTCATATGCAAGACTGAAGGCTTCTTTATTTCAGTCTCTCGAAGACTGAGGCATGCCACCATCTTTTTCTTCCACTGTCCCATGACTTATTTACTTACTTTGGGACGGGGGGAGAAAGCAGAAAATAGAACGGTAAGCACTTGCATTGCCTTTTGAAACATAATTATGAATCCAACATGGAACTGGGAATGTCCTTATCCCTTCTGGTAAGAAGATGGAGAGTGGATGCACACTCATCCACCAAAGAGGCCATTTTACCCTTACTCAGGAGTTATGCCTAACAAATAAAGCAGTATGAAATAGGAGTATGCACTGTCCCCAATATTACTATTCCTGCTTTCTCATTTCCATTTTTTCATCTTTGTGGAAACTCCCTATTCTCGTGAGGAGCCTGCTAATTTCCTAATGTTCAAATGACTGGTTGCTCCTTTTCAGTTTTTCTAATCAACACCAAAAAACAGAAGAGGGGAGATCTGGGATAGGTCTACTGTATTTAGGACCCTTACCTTGCTTGTCTTGATCTCTTCAGATCAAATGCTTAAAAAGGGCTTGTGCACCATAGAATTGGAAGAGACCTGACACAGGAAAACTATTAGTATAATTATTAATAACATTTCAAGAAAAATCAATGCGCACAGCTGCCTTGTTTTTGAAACATGCTTTTTAAATCATTCTTTCCTAGCTACTGTATGCTCATTACTTTGTAATTATGCAGATTTATACCAATTAGGAGCATTGGTATAAAAAATGACTATGATCTTAGCTACATGAAAGCCAAAGGAAAATTATGAAAAGTCTGTCAGTGGTAGAAAATTTGGTCATTAACATGAATGTGAAAGACATTCCCTACATTTAGTTTGATATGTATTGGTTATGACGTGTAACTTCACAGTCTAAAAATCTGGATCTGTACATTGTCTGAAGCCTTGTGTAATGTCTGTAGCATCATTTGCTATAGATGATGAAAATACTGTTCTGTTGTGCCAATCACTCAATCTCCTCTGCTTCTCTTGGTCCATGACAACTATTGGTGGCATTCCATGTTGTTAATCTGCACTGCTACTTCCATCTCTGGGCATCACCACCGTTGTTTAAATAATGTTGATCAACTGTAATGAGCAATTATAAATCTGCTTCTGACAAGCTGTAGCCCCCAAAATTTGATAAAATGATTAAGGATACTGTAACGCTTAAAAATAAGGAGTAATATAAAAGTGGGTACCCTGCTGATTGCATTAGAAGTTTTAGATTCTGTGATTGAATCTCATTTTCCTGTTCAAAAAGTAATTCACCAGAATGTTGAAATAAATGAGATCATTACAATATTTTTGAATATCTAGCATCTTAAAAGTGGTTAGATTTTATGGTGCTGTAAAGATTCAAGGATGTTTTTCTTTTATCCTTTCATTATAAATAATTTGAATAAATTTATTAAAAAACAATTAACATGACTCTGGTTTTAATGTTATAAAATGTTGCGAAGATTGACTTGATTTTAAAATTACTTGTAGGAAAGCCTCCCCAAACTGCAATGGGATTTCTCTTATATGTCACCTAATCTCTTTGCATTGCAAAAACGTTGCAGTGGAAGTCCTAATGCACATGCTTACTTTACATAAAGTACAGGTAGACATCTCTGGTATTGTTTCCCATCTAAATGGATTATTCATCCTTTTGCATAGAGATAACTCTCATCTGGGACTGTGCTACTGAGGATGATTAGAGCAGTAATAATAATAATAACTTTATTGTCATTGTACGTATATACACAGTATACCCATACAACGAAATTCACTTAACACCCAAAGACCAGGTCCAACACACATAACAATCCCCAAACACGCTCCTACCCACCACAATTCCCCACCCCTAAACCACCCAAACATCCATACAGCAGACCAAGTAATACTGTCCAACAGCTCACTGATGGTAGCCCTTCAATTCATTGTTGAGTAGCTACACTGCCTTCCAGAAAAACGTGGCCCTCATTTCTGTTCTTCTCTAAAGGAACCATTATCATCTTACTCTAATTTTTCATAGAGTGGTTAGAGTGCTATGCTAAGATCAGAAACTTAACAATGCTTTTTCACCCAGTGTGTTTGGACTTCTGAGCTCCATTTCTGATCTACTTCGTAGACTTAACCCACATTCTACCTTTTTAGTGGTTAACACATTCTGCACTTTCAATACATTGTTATTACAACTTTTGTAAAGTAAGGAGAAATCCGTTCTATTGGTTTATAAGATAAGGTAGGTATAACTCTTTCCATATCATGTATTCAAGTATCTTGTCAAGAAGATATTATTGACCTGTGCTTTCATACAGGCTCATGGTGCTGCAGTTGCCACATCTTCAGACCTTCCATATCCCACACTGCCTTTGTTAAAACTGAGCCAACTCTGGCAGACTTTACACCAGAAGTCAAGATGATCCGATGTGGAAATGAAAATTAAATCAACATGGCAGCAGAATTGGAACCTCAAGTCTTTTCTCTCTCTCAAGCCATTCTTGCTTTTTTGTCTCTACTTATTAGTGCTAAAATCAGTTCAACTGCATTTCTTCATCTACCACAAAATCCTTCTCCAAAACACATCAAGAAAAAACATACAGTTTGTTCTGCTAGGTCTTATCAAATAGTTTTGGGTGCCACAACATTGATTTTCTTCCCACTCCTATGATAATTCTTGAAAGGGTTGCGATCATACTTTGCACATTTCTTTTCCATGGCCTGTGAGGCTTATTCACTCCCCATTCTATCAGGCCATCTTTTCTTCCACTGAAACTTGTGCAGATCATGGTACTCAATATTTCAAAAATACTATCTGAGATGAAAAAACTGCAGGGATGGAAATCATTTTTCTCTCTGCCTCTATGGGCTGTTGTTATTATCTAAACAAGAAGTCAGTGGATCTTCTATGTCTCATTAAATTTTGTGTGGACTTTGTTATTGTATGTAGATGTTCTGTCCACATCTTTTCTTTTTTTTGTAATTTGTATTTTGAAAAACATAGTTTAAAAAAAAAACTGAACAAATTGATTAGCAAAACCAGCATGGATTTGTTAAAAACAGGAAGCCAGACAAATTTTGTTGCTTTCTTTTATAGCATGGCTAGATTAGTAGACCAGGAGAATGCTGTGGATGTAGCGCCCTTAAAACTTCAGAGAAGCATTTTACAAAATAGATCATTGCTTTCTTTTCTACAAGCTGCAATAACATATGATTGTCACTGTCAACATGGAAGGAGATATGCAATGGGATATCTCAGGGTTCCGTCCTGGCCCAGTACTTTTTAACATCTTCATAAACAATGTAGATGTAGAAATAGAAGGAATGAGCAGTCCTTAGTGCTTCCTGAACTTGGTTGTTTTCTTGCAGACATTTCATTACCCAAACTAGCATCATCGGTGCACTGATGATTTTAGCTAGTTTGGGTAATGTAGCATCAGAAAGCACCAAAGACCCCTCATTTCAACCCTGAGCTACAAGTATTCTCTAATGATAGAAGAGACACTCATAAATTTTGCGGATGATAGCAAGGTTCAAAAGGATTCTAATAGATTTAAGCATCAGAATTTGTTCAACAAAATATTTTTCATTTGTGAGAAATGTAGGATTTTGCACTTATCTGGGAAAAGCTAAATGCAAAGGTACAGGTAGCTCATCAGAAGTATTTGCGAGAAGGATCTGGATGTCCTGGTAGACCACAGATTAAGCATTGTGCCATAGCTATTATAAGAGCCAATACAGCTTTGGGCACATCAACAGATACATAGTGTTAAGAACATGGAAAGTCTTAGCAATGCTTGGTGCACCATGGATCAGACCATACCTGAAATAGTGTGTCCAGTTCTGGTCAGCATAGTACAAAAAGATGCTGAGAAATGAGGTTGTTAAAAAAAGAGTGGTAAAGGATTTGGAGGCTAAATCCCATGAACAACAGTTAAAGGAATTTGGTATGTTTAGCCTAAGGAAATCTTAGGGCAGAAGGCAGAGGGTGTGGATTTGTTCTCTATAACTCCCACAAGTAAGACAATAACCAGTGGGTGGAAGTTAACAGAGAAAGCTCCAGACTTGAAATTTCTTTTGTGATAATTACTAAACAATGGAATAGCCTGCTTCTTAAAGCCATGAATGTCTATCACAGGATGTTTACAAGGTAAGATTGGACAGCTATTTGTCCACGATAATATATGGACTTCTGCTCAGAAAAACAGGTTGGACTAGAAGACCTCTTAAGTTTCTTTCAATGCAATGATTCTATGAATTCCCAGTCCTTTCGGTTGCCTTCAGCCATCAAGATGTCTTGAGCTGATTTTACTTAAGAGCCTGCTTGCTTCTTGCCAAAGAAAAAGCAAGAACAAATGCTTGTCTCCTTGATATTCCACAACACCCAAATATATTTCCCTTACTCCTTACTAGAAGGAGGAAGGAGGCTTTGCTATTGATTTATAAATCTTTCACCCATATGAGCAGACGCACCACATCTCATGGTGTCATGCCAGTAGTGAGTTTCAATTTTGTTCGCTACTGGTTTGCTCGTGGGTGTGAGTGTGCAGTGCTTCTGCGCATGCACAGAAATGTCTGGGCGGGTGGGCGGAGCCTCCCACCACTGCCGCTACCAGTTTGCCCAATCCTGGGTGAACCAGTAGCAACCCACCACTGTGTCATGCTTTTAATTTTCTGCCAAGCATTGGTACAGAAGAAAATATGAACAATCTACTCCCTTTTATTGGGAGTTACTCTCCTACTTGCATGCATGTTACATAAGGACCCTCTACTAGATGCATGGAAAGGAATTATCTCTGTGTTAGAGGCTGTCCAAAATAAGATCAGAGGTTGCCCCCACCCCAAGAACAAGTAATCTGTTTGGGATAGGAAGGTCTGATACTTCCAACATGCAGCATAGCAAGAAAGAGATGAAACTCTGAAACCACAGGTTCTTTGGGAAAGAAAAGCTGTTCTGTTTTGCCAGAAAAGTCTGAGTCATTTGCTCTTGAACTATGAAGAATAAATCCTCTCCGCTGACCTTTAAAACTTGCATCAGCTGCCTAAAAATGTCTGGGAAGAATTGTATAAGAATAACCACATGTAGCATAGCACTGACCCAGTAAGGCAACATTCTCCAGGCTCTTCGTTGAAGCACTTCTTCTCTTCCACTTCTCTTTTCTTTTTTTACTGGGATTCACCCTTCCCTCTTGAATACTGTATGACATGTTTCCATTCTTGGTCTGACTCCGGTGAAATCAGAAACCAAGCTTTAGCAGACTTTAGGCTAATATCTCAAACTTCTTTGAACTAGGAAGAACATGGGAAATTTTGACACTATATTATTGGTGTTGTTGTTGTTGTTGTTATTTAAACATGAAACTCAGTCAACTGAACATTCAAGAATGCATCACAAATACCATTGCCTGGTGCTAATGGTTGATATGGGTTGCTGCCAGCGTCCTAGGTATCAACCAAGTACCTTCTTAAGATGTACGATGTTGCAAATAGTGCAGTTTTTTGCAGTTCCGCTGGTGTTATTGCAGGAAGCTGCAATTTGTTGATGTATCTTATAACAAAGTCAAAATTTGTATCTTATAAAGTCAAAATTCTTGAACATGGTACCAAGTGCCCTGATAACAATGGGTATCACTGTTACATGTTGTTGTTGTTGTTGTTGTTGTTGTTGTTGTTGTTATCTCTTTTTCATTAAACATGAAACTCAGTCAACTGAACATTTAAAAATGTGTCACAAATACAATTGACTAGTACTAATGGTTGATACGGGTTGCTGCCTTGATACATCCTAGGTATCAACAAAATATTATTATTATTATTATTATTATTATTATTAATTATTATTATTATTATTACAAAATTTATGTCTCAGTGGGCATGGTCAGTCTAAGTTTTCTAGAAGACTGGTGAGGCTGTCCACTAGCGCTCGTTTCTGCCACTGTCTTCTTATTATGTTTGGAGATTGTGCTGTTGCATCAAGGTGCAAGGAAATCTAGGTAAATAACAAGAATTCTTTAGATTGCATTGCATACCACACTGAACCATGAATGTCCACTGTTCTTACTGCTTTCATCCAAATGAGAAAAGCAGTATTTCATTTTCACGCCCATTTCATATGCATATGCCACTGCACTGAATGATAAAAGAGTCACTTTATATCTATCTATCTATCTATCTATCTATCTATCTATCTATCTATCTATCTATCAGAATTATATGGCCACCCAACTCACTGTAACTCCAGGCAGCTTACAGAAATGAAATCCTAAATAAATAGAAAACCCAATAAACTTCCAACCCTCTGGTGACACCAATCAAACAAAACAACCATATTTATTTATTTATTTATTAATCATATTTCTATGCCGCCCACTCTCCGAGGACTCTGGGCGGCTTACACCAAAGACAGTATACTAAATAGCATATTGCCCCCAACA